CCCCGCCCCCCCCCCCGGCTGCTGAAATGGTAGGCAAGGATTGGGCCACCACTCTTGTGTACATGCCACAGGGGTTTCATTCAGTTTAATTCTCCCTAAATTGAAGTGGTGTTATTAAAAACCCACCATTTCTATTTGGGGAGAACTAAACTGGATTAAACCCATACGGCATGTACAAGTAGTCAAAGTGCTTGGTTAACCATACACTTAAGTATTTTTCTATATCTGGCTCACATCTGTTAAAGTTGAAGGGACACAGTTTCCTAAGAATTATATATGTTCTTAGTACTAATGGTGAGAGCTGGCATAAGAATAATATTCCTAGAACTAGTAGTTTGAAACTGATACCAACTTTTAAAATACGGGGACACACATCTGTAAGACAGAAAATTATTTATGCAGCAGATTTGAATTACACCTTCAATTCTCTCATTTCACTGATAGAGGTAGCATAACAGCTCTTCTTCCCATGAGCCTATTAACACTAAGACTTAAGTGTGTGCTTCTCTGATTATAGGATGCTTATAATTTAACTTTGTTTAAATTTTGCTTTTCGCAGTAGCATATTTTATAAATTATTATTCTAACAGTAAAAAATGATGATCAAGTGATTTATATGTGAATTGTAAATCAGTTTTTAAAATGACTGAAATTTTAAACCTGTATGCCTAAATCCATACTTCACCTCCAATAGACTTGAATTTTTTCAAGTTTCTGAGCAGCCCCCCAGTTCATTAATGTCCTTATATATGCCATTTTATGTAACAAGATGGGAAACATACTCTATTCACCTGAAACTAAGACTGCTTTAAATTTTGGATGATCCCCCAATGATTAGATTGCATACATGGAAAATTATAAACTTATTATAATTATCCATGTATAGAATCTAATTATTGGAGGGTCATCTTCAATTTGTTGCCTCTACCACTGTTGTGGGGAAAGTAGAGCCCCACCTGTTCACCCCCCACTGCCACACCTCTGCTACTTTCCCTGTGTGGTGGTTGCAGCTCCAACTCTGACCAGGGCCATAGAGTACATAGTGGCTTGGCCAAACTGCAGCAGCAATTCCAGCCCCAGTCCTGGATTGTAAGAGACCTCATGTAGTCATCTAGTCCAGCTGCCTGTTCAAGTCTGGATCATCCCTGACTCTTGTTTCATTATTTACTATTGCCAACATACACATTAAACATGGCTAAGCATGTAGGACTTGTATTTTACTTGCTACAAATGATGAATTTATTGTGGGAAGTGATCTCAGATAATTTTTTAATGTTTATTTCCTTTATTGGCTTCTTTGAACATTATTTTAGCCTTAACAGTAATCTACAGCTTTGCAGTTTATGCAAGAGAGCATTACCAAAAGCTTTCCAGGATGCATGAGAACATGGAAAAGCTCTATCAGAATGTGATGGTTTACTATGCCATTGATTTGAAGAAGGTTTCTGTGGAAGAAGTTTTAACTGATTTGAACAACTTCAGGACCATGTTCATGGTACAGTATGTCTTTCATGCTAAAAATTGTTAAATGGTGTGCATGTGCATGCGCGTGCGTGCATGTGTGTGCATGCGCATGTGTGTGCTTGGATAGTCTCAAAAAATACTTTCAGTACCTCAGGTTCTACTGTGTAAAGATAAGGATTTTTTCCTCTCTCTTCCTCCTTTTGAAGGCACAAAGAATTTTAACTATAATATAAAAATTAGCTCCTTATGTAATATATAACATGGCAAAAAAGAGATGAATTTGAAATGCTTTACCACTAAGGTAGAAGTGCTCTGGTCTGTTTATAGTACTTCTGTAATAACTTTGCTTTCTATAATGGATTATTTTTTATTTATATGGTATAGTCTTCCCAGGTGGCAGAATAGTAAGGATGACACAAAAACCCCTACAGAGAAGTATATTATTTATTTATAATACATGAGAAATACTTAAAAGCTACAACCTACGTGTCTTGGAAACCATGGAAGAGAAAGGAAACAGATACCTAAGGCAATAGACAAATGTAATTTTTAACTGGCTTAGGAGGAGAAAAGAGGAGGTACTATTCAGGAGATTCACCTGGCAAGGCAAGTTAAGAAATTCTATAAATATGGACATGAAAGAAAGACCAAGGAAGTTTTGGGTCCACTATTAAATAGCCAGAGTAAATTCTAAACATAGAACATGGAGCTGCTCAGCACCTACTTTGCCTTGGTCTTCAGAAAAACAATTAGGCTGCTCAGAAAACTTTAAATGGATCTCAATGAGTTCAGGTCAGTAGGGTCCAATGAACTTCATGCCAGGGTACTGAAGGAACTGGCAGAGGAGGTTTTGGAGCCTTTGCCAATAGTATTTATAAAGTCATGATAGACTGGCATACCGGAGAACTGTAAAAAAGTAACCCAAATCCACATTTTTCTGTGAATAAAATGAAACACCACTAATATATATAACACCATTAAAATGAAACACCGCTATAAATACTTTAAACATAGAAAAATGTGGATTTTGGATTACTTTTTCAGATCTGAAAAATGTGGATTTTTTTTATCAGGGAAAACCAGGATCCCTGCTAAACAACCTTCAGGTATTTGAGGCCTGTTACCAAATCCCCCTTCAGTCTTCTCTTCTCTAGTCTAAATAACCTAGTTCTTTCAGACTTCCCTTACAAGTCATGTCTCCAAAACCCCTAATTATTTTTTGTTTCCCTGCTCGGGACTCTTTCCAACTGTCCAGATCCTTTTTGAAGTGTGGAGCCCAAAAAAGCTGGACACAGCACTCTAGGTGAAGCCTTACTAGTGCTGAATAGAGAGGAAGAATCACTTCCCTTGATTTGTCACTCCTATTAATACTACTCTGTGGGCACATCTACACGAGATGTGTAACCAAGTAGCATCCCAGTACAGTTGCCTGGTGACACTTACTGTACAGTAACTTGTTACTACTGCACAGTAGTGTCACATTGCGGTTCATGCCTGGTGACATTACTGCACAGTAGGAATGAGCTACTGTGCAGTTAACGTCTCGTCTGGATACACCCAGTATACTCTTGGCCTTTTCTGCAACAAAAGCATGCTATTGGCTTATATCCAGCTTATGGTCCACTGAAAATCCCAGGTTCTCTGCTATACCTCAGCCTAGCCTGTTGTTCCCCAGTCTGTATTTATGCATGCAATTATTCTGTCCTAAGTGGAGGACTTTGCACTTGTCTTGTTGACTGTCATCTGATTGATTACAGACTATTTATCCAGCTTCTTCAGGTCATTCTGGATCTTAACCCTACCCTCCAGAGTGTCTTCAGTTTTACCCAACTTGGTATGATCCAGAGATTTGCTAAGTGTGCACTCAATCCTATCATCCAAATCATTAATGAAGGTATTAAACAGTACTGAACACAGGACAGACCTGTAGAGAACCCTTCTTGATACCGGATCCAAACTAGTCATTGAGCCATTGATTTCTACTCACTCAGCACAATGATCCATTACTCTAGGCTGTTTGTCTCCTTCCCCATCTCTGCTGCCAACTGCACTCATCTAGTAGCTGCCCTTATTTATGAAAACCAAACCAAAAAAAGGCATTAAATACTTCAGCCTTAACTGCATCATATGTAACTAGATTACTTTCTGTATTTCATAAGGGGCCTGTGCTTTCTGTGGTGTTCCTCTTACTTTTATATACTTGTATTAACTTTCTTGTCCCTTGCCAGGTGCATGTCAAACCATGCCTTGGCCTTCCTAATTTTCTCCCTGCATGCTCGTATACTCTTCCCTAGTACTATGACCAAGTTTGATATGACTTCTTTTAAAGTTTTAACTCCTTGAAGAGATCTCTATCTAGCAAACAGGTTTCTGTTGCACTTCCTTTTCTTTTGTCTCATCAGGTTGCTTGCTCCTGCACCTTTAAGAGGGCCTCTTTAAAGTATAGTTAATTCTCCTGGACTCCTTTACCTCACAGATTTCCTTCCCAAGGAATTCTGCCCACCAGTTCCTGAGCTGGTTAACATCTGGTTTCCTGAAGTCCATTGTCTTGTTTTGCTGCTCTCCTTCCTTTCTCCTAGAATCTTCAACTCTATCACTTTGTGATTACTGTCACACAAGTTACATCCATTAACTTTCTTGACTAATTCCTCCCTGTTTGTGAGCAGTAAGTCGAAGAGCTTCCTCCTCGTTAGCCTGTCTCATCTGAATAAAAAAGTTATGCCCAATGCACTCCAGGAGTTTCCTGAATTGCTTGTTCCCTACTGCTTTTGTCTCGTAGCAGATGACCGAATAATTAAAGTTCCCCACGAGAACCAAGTCTTACAATTTGGAAGCTTCTGTCAGTTTAGAGAAGGCCTCCTTCATTTTCTCCTGGTTTTGGAGGTCTGTAGCAGATGACTACTTTGACCGTCTTCTCCCCCACTGCCGCTCTCCCCTGTTATCTTTAGGAGACCAGGCCGAGTTATTCAAAGAGGTTTTTTTGCCTCAGTGTTCCTGAACAGGGCTCAAGATAAGTTTCCTAATGGGTTCTTAGATGGTAATCAGAGGGACACCAGCTCACCAACTGTCGATGCTGACTTGGTGCAGAGTCACTTGGAAGGACTGGATGTGTTCAAGTCAGCAGGCCCAGATGAGCTGCATCCAAGAGTACTGAAGGAATTGGCCGGTGTCATAGCAGAACCACTGGCACAGCTGTTTGAGCGCTCGTGGCACTCCAGGTCCCAAAGAACTGGAAAATGGCCATTGCAGTCCCTATTTTCAAGAAGGGGAGGAAGGAGAATCTGAGTAATTATAGGCCAGTCAGTCTCACCTCCATCCTTGGAAAGGTCTTTGAAAAGATTATGAAGGATCATATTTATGGAAGTCCAGCAGGAAAAATTAATGCAGCAGGGAAACCAGCATGGATTTGTAGCAGGTAGATCATAACTTACTAATCTGGTTTTGTTTTATGACTGGGTCACAAAATGCTTAGATGCAGGAGTAGAGGTGGATGTTGTTTTCCTGGAGTTTAGCAAGGCCTTCGATATGGTATCTCATCCCATTCTCATAAATAAGAGGCTGTGACTTTGATGATTACATAGTCTGGTGGGTGGCAAATTGACTTAGCGGTTGCACCCAGAGAGTGGTAGTAGATAGGTTGGTATCAACCTGGAAGGATGTGAGTAGTGGGGTCCCACAGGGTTTTGTCCTTGGACGTGTATTCTTCAATATCTTCATCAGTGACTTGGATGGGGGTATGAAGTGCACTCTGTCCAAGTTTGCAGATTATACTAAATTGTGGGTTGAAGTCCACACTCCAGAGGGTAGGGAACGATTGCAGGCAGACCTGGACAGGTTGGAAAAGTAGGCAGTATACAGTAGGATGCAGTACAACAAGGACAAGTGCAGAGTCCTGCACCTAGGGGGCAAAAATATCCAACACACCTGCTGGCTGCGAAATGACAGTCGCAGCAGCACAGAAGCGGAAAGGGATCTCGAGGTCATAGTGGACTCGAAGATGAACATGAATTGTCAGTGTGATGAAATCATCAGCAAAGCCAACCACACTTTATCATGTATCAGCAGATGCATGGCAAGTAGAACCAAGGAGGTGATACTTCCCCTCTATGCAGCATTGGTCAGACTGCATTTGGAGTACTGCATCCAATTTTGGGTGCTGTACTTCAAGAAGGATGCTTATAGACTCAAGAGGGTCCAGAGGTGGGCCCCATGTATGGTTAGGGGCTTACAGGACAAGCCCTATGAGGAGAGGCTGAGGGACCTGGTCCACTTGAGCCTCTGCAAGAGAAGGCTGAGAGGTGGTCTTGTGGCTGCCTACAAATTCACTAGGGGGACACAGCAAGGGATCGGAGATGCTCTGTTCACCAGGGCGTCTCTTGGGGTAACAAGGAACAATGGTCACAAACTGACAGCAAATTAAGGCTAGATATCAGGAAAAGCTTTGTCACAGTAAGGGTGGCCAAAATTTGAATGGGCTTCTAAGGGATGTGGTGCTCTCCCCTACCTTGAGGGTCTCTAAGAGAAGGCCGGATAGGCATCTTGCTGGGGTCATCTGACCCCAACACTCTCTTTCCTGCCTAGGCAGGGGGTTGGGCTCAATGATCTGTTGAGGTCCTTTCCAACTCTAGCATTTATGAATCTTTACCCAGAGGCTTTCAACAGGCCTACCGTCCACTTCATATTGCCCCTCTGAATGCATGTACATCACCGTTATATATAGGGCTACAGTTCCTCCTTTTTCTCCTGCTTACTCTTCCTGAATAAGCTATCCATCCATGGCAGTACTCCAGTTATGTGAACTATTCCATAATCCCAACTGTATCATAAGGCTGTGCTTGTACTAGGACCTCTAATTCTTTCCGTTTGTTTCCCATACTTCTTGCATTAGTGTATTTCAGGTATCTACCTGATTGTCCTACCCTCTCCCTGAGAACACTGATAAAGTTTTCATTACTGGTTCCCTTTACTAAATGTTTATTCCAATCCCAAGGCTCTACTTACCTTTGGTTTTTATTTCCATCATCCCAGGAA